ACACACACACACACACACACACACACACACACACACACACACACACACACATATTCTCTCCATTTCCCCCCCTGCAAGGATAGCTGTCTCCTGTGCCTTTTACATTTCCTCGTAGTAGCTGATGCCAGGCATTGAAGGGGCTACCCCAAGCCTTATCCTCTGGCTCGCTCTCGGAAGAAAAGTACCTAGTTCTAGTCTCAGGAGGGCAACACTCGGGCACAGGTTTTAGCCAATTTCAGTCAAAGTTCCCTTTCTGCCCATGTCCTGGAAACTCTAAGCATTGCCTCAAGTTCCTAAATCTGCTCTGGGGTAAAAAGCCTTTGCCCACTCTTCTGCTGCCCTCTTCTGTTCAGAAAGTGCAACATCTCTCATTTAAGAGGCCTGGACGGTGCCAGCCACCCAGGAAGACAAGATCCCTGCCACAGGCAGCCCGTCACCATAGCAACCCTCAAAATGGTTACTCAACCATCTGTGTTACCACAGCAACCAGGCAAGTCTCTCCACCTCAGCCTCTCCCTGGGTCTTCTACCCTGGCTTGTCAGAGCCAATGCCAAAGAATCTCCAGTGCTTACCAGGGGATATGAGCATAGGCTGAACCCCTGGCAGGCAGCTATCCCAAAGGGGCGTGGAATGTCTCACCCGCCAGGGGCTTCCTGAAGCACAGTGGAGATAATGGGTGTTAAGGCATTCTGTGAACCTTGAAGTGTGGCACAGATGTTAGCTATTATTAAACTACTGTTCCTTGTAATGGGGGAGGCAGTGGGTTGCCCTAGGCAGAACTAGCGCCATTCCTAGTTTGGCCCCTTACTGGCTGGAAGACCTTGAGCAAATGGCTGAACTCTTTGGGTTTCTGCTTCCTCTACTGTAGCACATCTGCTTCCTAAAGTTGATTTGAAGATTAGATCAAATAGAGCATGTAAGACGCGAAACGCAAGCCTGGCATTGGCAACATAGCAATAGTACTTAGAAAATGTATTGCCCCCTCTGCTCTCTCCCAGCTTCGTTGTGAATTAAAGTGTTTTATCTTCACTCTTGAAGGGATCAGGCTAACATGAGCCCTGTTCAACCACATCCAATCTCCTTTCCTGCTCTGAGGCAGGAGAGGGTCTCATCCTGTGTGGGTCCTCTGAGGTTCCTACCAAACAGGATTGCCAGTAGTCTGCACTCTTTGTAAGGTCTCCAAACTGGGAAGTGTGGCTTGTCTACCTATGAAACTTCCCTTCACTTGAAACAACATCCCCCATCCACCACCACCTCAAGATAGAAACCTCTAAAGGGGGCTGGGCACAGTGACTGGTGCCTGTAATCCCAGCACTTTGAGAGGTGGAGGCGAAAGGATTGCCTGAGCCCACTGGTTCAAGACCAGCCTGGGGAACTTGGCAAGACCTCATCTCTACAATCAATAAAAAAAATTAGCGTGGTGGTGGTGTGTGCCTGTAGTTCCAGCTACTTGGAAGGCTGAAAAGTGGAAGGATCACCTGAGCCCAGCAGGTTGAGGCTGCGGTGGCTGTGAGCATGCAACTGCACTCCAGCCTGGGTGACAGAGTGAGACTCCAACTCAAAAAAAGAAAAGAAAAGAAACCTCTAAAGGGGCAGTAACAGGCAGCCTGGAAGCAGTACAAATCCCTGAGGTCCTAGAGAGCAGCGGCTGCTGCTCTCAGCTGAGATCAGAGTCACATATAACAATTCACCAGTATCAGGGTAGTCCTGGGCAAAGGGCCCTCTCACAAGAACAGAATCCATTCCCTCCATGATTTTTTTTTTTTTGAGTTGGCGTCTCACTCTGTCATCCAGACTGGAGGGCTGTGGCCGCTCCCAGCCACCGCAGCCTCAACCTGCTGGGCTCCAGCGATCCTTCCGCCTCAGCCTTCCAAGTAGCTGGAACTACAAGCGCGCTACCACACCTGGCTAATTTTTTGATTTATTGTAGAGATGAGGTTTCACCAAGTTGCCCAGGTGAGTCTCAAACCCGCGGGTTTAGGCAATCCACTCACCTCAGCCTCCCAAAGCGCGGGATTATAGGCTGAGCCACCGAGCCTGGCTCCCTCTATGATTTTAAAGACTTCAATCCTATTGCATCTCAACTTCAGTTTCTCAATATTGAATCCTTGAAATCCATGGTTGGGATACTTTCCTCAATTACACTGGCAGGGTCCAATTCAAACCCAGGGTCCATGGGTTTGAGGTGATTTGGACCAAACAGACAGACATTATCCTCAGAAATCAAGTTTCCAGAAACAGAATTGTAGCCTAGCTCTGCATGTTCTGGGAGTAGAGCAGGAACCTCAACCTGGAAGGGCCAGAGGATCAGTCTAACAACATTAGGAGGGACAAATGCCCTGGCATTCAGGAACTGAAATCCCTCATGAAGTCTCTGAGCAGTGGGTCAGGTGGCACTGGTTCCAGTCTTTATATGGACTCTGAAGCAGGTAAACTGGTGTGTTTACTAGTAAGGAAAAAGGGGTGTGAAACAATGGTTCAAGAGTGTAGAAGGTAAATGCATATGATTACTGGAGCTTTCTTTTACCTAACTGGGGAGGCAGAACTGGGGTTATGATATCATTTTATACACATATATATATATTTGTGTGTGTGTGTGTGTGTGTGTGTGTGTGTGTGTGTGTGTGTGTTTGTGTAGTTTTTCATCCACAGTTCCTGGCTCATAACTCCCATAGCCCTTGTTACAGTTTTCTGTTATACTGTTGGGGCACTTTAGGTCTCAGAAGCAGACCTCAGAAAACAGAACCAATCTCTCTCTCTCCTCTCTCTCTCTCTCTCTCTCTCTCTCTCTCTCTCTCTCACCATCTCCTGTCCTCCTTTCATCTGCATCTTTTTCTTCCCTAAGCAGAACTTTAATCTTCCCTCGCATTTCATATTATGGGTCCTAAGATCCCTATTTCAGAAGGGTTCTACCCCATATCCTAGGGGAAGTAATGCTGCATAGAGAGACCAAGAATAATCCAAACAGCCAGGACTTGCTGGGTTTCCACACTCAGTCTATTAATATTAGATCATATCCTTTTTGTCCAATCACACTACTTTTTTTTTTTTT